GTTGCAACATGGTCTACCAGGAGCAGCTTTCTAATGGGCACCGTTCGAATCCTGGGCTTTTTCTGAGAGCAATGTAGAAGTCATAACTTAGGCAAATCTAGAAGAATAAATATAGTCTGGCAAATAAACAGTTAGACTGATTTTATTATGAGCAAAACAAAACCTCCATACACGAAGAAAAACATTTTATCCAGCAAGGAACAATTCTCTGTGATCTGACTATAAGATACGAAAAATTCCGCAACGAGATCATGCACAGCAGGAGTCTACAGATCACCAGTAGAAGAGTGCACCTGGGTGTGACCAGATGGTCTGGTCGGCTCCCTACACTCAGGGGAAAGGCAAGACGTACATATAACCAGATTGTGACCGGTACCATCAGAATTGGAACTCTGCCCTGGCTTCCTAGCGTGGAGCGTGCATGAGAATGCCCCGACAGATGTGATGTCAATTCTTGACTCAACTCAACAGAACAGGAGAGTCTTCTTATCATCAATTGTTTCGGCCCTATTATCCTAAATTACAACACTGTCCAGTCAGCAGACATTGCGATTGCCCAGGTAAAACAGGCAGTTGCTTTTAATACTGTTTAAATTTATACTTCAGATATAAATGATTCACTTATTTACTTTATTTTTTTTTTTTTACTGTTATCGTTGTATGCACCTGACGAGACACAGCTAAATCTGCCAGACAATAGACCTACAGTGTACAATCTATTGTTTATATCTTCTTCGTTCAAATTACTTGACAACGGGGAAACATTGCTTGGACTACAGTTTGTCTAAATACACCTGCTCTAGACATTATTAACAGATATCCAGCATCGACAATCCAGTCACAGGCTAGCATTTAACTCTTTCGGTCTCGACAACCCAGTCACAGGCTAGCATTTAACTCTTTCGGTTTCGACAACCCAGTCACAGGCTAGCATTTAACTCTTTCGGTTTCGACAACCCAGTCACAGGCTAGTATTCAACTCTTTCGGTCTTGACAACCCAGTCAGAGGCTAGTATTTAACTCTTTCGGTCTTGACAACCCAGTCAGAGGCTAGTATTTAACTCTTTCGGTTTCGACAACTCAGTCACAGGCTAGCATTCAACTCTTTCGGTCTCGACAACCCAGTCACATGCTAGCATTTAACTCTTTCGGTCTTGACAACCCAGTCAGAGGCTAGCATTTAACTCTTTAGGTTTCGACAACCCAGTCACAGGCTAGCATTCAACTCTTTCGGTATCGACAACCAAGTCACATGATAGCTTTTAACTCTTTCGGTCTCGACAACCAAGTCACATTATAGCTTCTAACTCTTTCGGTCTCGACAACCCACACACAGGCTAGCATTTAACTCTTTCGGTCTGTTATCTTTTTCATTTTTTTTGGGGATCATATTAGTTTCAGTGGTCAACTTGAGTATATGGCAAGACCCCCGCTCCCCCATGAGTGAATGGCAAGACCCCCGCTCCCCCATGAGTGAATGGCAAGACCCCCGCTCCCCCATGAGTGAATGGCAAGACCCCCGCTCCCCCATGAGTGAATGGCAAGACCCCCGCTCCCCCATGAGTGAATGGCAAGACCCCCGCTCCCCCATGAGTGAATGGCAAGACCCCCGCTCCCCATGAGTGAATGGCAAGACCCCCGCTCCCCCATGAGTGAATGGCAAGACCCCCGCTCCCCCATGAGTGAATGGCAAGACCCCCGCTCCCCCATGAGTGAATGGCAAGACCCCCGCTCCCCCATGAATGAATGGCAAGACCCCCGCGCCCCTTGAGTATATAGCGAGACCCCTGTGCTCCATTTGAAAATTATTGCAATACCCCACGCACTGCCCTCCCCCCCCTCCATTTCTAACCACTTGAGTATATGGCAAGAACCCACACAAACACTTGAACAGATCGTGAGTTTATTGGTAACCGTGTTTAACTGCTCAATAGTAATAATAAAAATTATTTTTTTAGTATTATTATTATTATTGTTATGATCATCATTATCATCATTATCATCATCATCATCCTCATCTACGTGCAGACTGGCTAATAAATGCAATAATATATAAATTTCAAATATTAAATGTGTGAACAAATTCTTAAAAAGAGGGCGGCTTTACAAAGCGGTGGGGGTACGGGGGAAGGGTGACCACAGCTCCCCCCCCCCCTCCTTTCACCCCCCCCCCCCCCACCCCCACCCGACAATTACTAGAATCAACACAAGAACTCGTACACGCTTTTGGAGATTGCAAGTTGTGGAGAGGCATTATCGGTCGGCAATGCACTCAGTGATGATTATGATGCTGTGAACTGAACTAAGACCCGTGTCTTGGCAAGGTGTCTCTTCATGTTCATAGTGTTGTTGTTGTTGTTGTTGTTGATGTTGCTGTTGTTGTTGTTGTTGTTGTTGTTGTTGTTGTTGTTGTTCTTCTTCTTCTTCTTCTTCTTCTTCTTCTTCTTCTTTTTTTTTCTTCTTCTTCTTCTTCTTCTTCTTCTTCTTCTTCTTCTTCTTCTTCTTCTTCTTCTTCTTCTTCTTCTTCTTCTTCTTCTTCTTCTTCTTCTTCTTCTTCTTCTTCTTCTTCTTCTTCTTCTTCTTCTTCTCTCTCTTCTTCTTCCTCTTCTTCTTCTTCTTCTTCTTCTTCTTCTTCTTCTTCTTCTTCTTCTTCTTCTTCTTCTTCTTCTTTTTCTTCTTCTTATAATTCTTCTTCTTATAATTCTTCTTCTTATAATTCTTCTTCTTATAATTCTTCTTCTTCACGTTCATCTCATGTAAACTCCTTTGGAGAGTTCTGGTTCTCCGCCCACCTCTGGACTTTGGTCTCGTTTCCGAACCTGAACTGTTACGTGCACATCTGTTTTACAGATCTGATTTATGTGTTGCATTACGTTATTTTATCACAACTGGAAAATGAAAAAAAATAATGCAACACACGCCTTGAGAACACTGATAGAAAGATCAGTTGAAACCCAGAAAAACGTAGATTTATGTTTTATAGATTACATAAACGCATTTGATAAGATAGAACACTAGGAACTTGTCAAAATGTGGACAGATATTAACATTGATGGGAAAGATCTCAGAGTAATAAAGCATATTTATTGGAAGCAAATGGCAGCTATTAAAATGGCAAATAGAATGGGCATATCTGAACAGATCAAACAAGGAGTAAGTTATAGATGTGTTTTGTCACCTGGTCTTCTCTCTCTCTCTCTCCCTCTCTCTCTCTCTCTCTCTCTCTCTCTCTCTCTCTCTCTCTCTCTCTCTCTAGCGAAATGATATTGAGAGAGATCAAAGATACACACGGAATTAGAGTAGGAGGTTATAATATAAACAATATACGTTATGCAGATGACAAGGTATTGATAGCTGAAAATGCAAATGATCTACAACAATTATTGGACATTATGGTGAGGGAGGGTGTAAAAACAAATGCATTTTTTTAATATAAAGTGATCGAAGGTAATGGTTATATCAAATTAAAGAATATCAACAAAGAGTGATATAAGAAAAAAAAATTTAAAAAAGTTGACCCAAGTCAATAAATTTTGATATATGGGTACAATTTTAAGATCAGACGGAAGATGTATGTCAAAAATTAAGAGCAGAATAGGCTAGGCCAAGAATGAAGAGCATCTTATGCAACAGGTTCCTTTCTTTGGATGTCCCAATAAGAATACTAAAATGTTATGTAGAACCTATATTGCTGAATGGTAGTGAATGATGGAATGTGAATGCACAATTAGAAAGAACTTGGAGGCGACGGAGATGCGGTTCCTCAAATAAATGTTAAGAGTCCCGTGGACTGCCAGAGTAACTAACTAGCATTGCTTGAAAGAATATATAGCTTTAAGGAGAAGCCAAGCACTGTGTTTGGTCACGTGATTTTGCGAGGGGGCGGGGGATGTGTGTGTGGGGGGGGGGGGGGGTGGAGAATACTGTGACGACTGGGAAGATCAACGGTATGAGAGGGGGGAACAGGCAGACCGAGAGAGAGATGACGGATGGCTTGCGGCTGTTGTACGGAGGAATACTGTCGGTGGAATTGATCCAAAGGACAGGGCACCAAGATCTGTTGAGATGCATGAACGCCTATGCAAGTATGCAGGGCATGTGGTGATGATGATGATAATCTCAAACGACGTCCCTGCACACTAGACGTTCCCTGCGTGCTCAGTCCTCTCATGCAGCACCCACTCCAAGGTACCTCTACTTATTGTTCCCATGATAAGTTTTTTAAAGGGTCTTCTGTCTTGACCTCTAATACGTTGTAGAATTGCTTTACTCCTATATCACGCAGTCGTGTTAGCGTCAGCGATTCGTCATTATCCCCCAACCTAGCCCGTACAGCGTTAACTGTACTTCAGCTTTGTCCATGCTTTTTCCGTTTGCATTGGTGCACAGCTTGCCAGCCGGTCGGAACGTTTATTAGCTTTCACTCGTGCTTGGCCATGCATGTAGATCCAGATTATTTATACGCATGCTGTTGGTTTCTTGCCTCTCAGGCAGATGCACCCCGACTTAAAGGAAGCCCCCAGTTATTCGATTCTAACAGCATAGTAATCTGGTAATCTGAGTTTCAGCTTTCTTGTAAACAGGTCACCCCAAAGTTGCTCCACTCCTGTGTCAACGAAAAACACACACAAAATGTTTATCACAGATTGCCAGACTGCTGTCTCAGCATATGCGCTAGCATACACACGCATTAAAAGCATACTGTAGCCATCCGAAGTGCTAACACAAACAGTCCGACATTAGAAATGCAGTTCATCATGGACGGGAGCACTAGTGACTAGCAGAAGTCAACAACAGATCAGCATGCTTGTTGGGGTGGCAACGGGTCTAATCTCACCCCCCCCCCCCCACAATGGGGCCTATGAAACAACACGAGAAGGTAAGGTGGTTACATCCAAATTCCGACGGTTAAATGGATCCTATGGGTTTGTTAATCAAGCTGGTAAACTAAACGCAGTACGGTCGTACCGGAAGCAAAATATCGCTCATTTTTGTCAAACATGTCGGAAGACAACAGAACGCTGTGGGTTGGCAACCTGGATGATCGAGTGACAGAAGCATTAATATACGAACTCTTTTTGCAGGTGTGTGTGTAGGGGGTAGATTAAATTAGGGGCACAGAATAAGTATATATTTAGTGAAGTAGCTTTTTTTGCTTGTATATTCATTGTAGCAATGTTATCGAAAATAGGACATTATCAAAGCGAATGTGGTAAAATCTTTTTTTTTTTTATTTGTTTTATTTTAAATTTATCCATGCATCACTACTTAACAATATTTGTTTGCATATATATGTAACCAAGCAGACGGTAGATTGTATTACCGTTATGAGATTATCTTTATGATATGTAGGTTTTTGTGGAGATGAGATGTAAAAAACAGCTGTTGAAAACTTGCGACCCCACTTTAGTCAAATTTTTAAAATCATTTTTCCCTTATAAAACCAGTACAGCTGCATACATATTGAAAAGCACTTTCCAACGGTACCTCTTTCATGCCTGTATGTCAATTCTAAGCCAAGTTATTGAAGTTTTTGTGGAAAAAATTAACAAAGAAGAAAAAATAAAAGTGAGATAAAACTTGTCGCCTTAAAATCGTAAGTCTTAGAGGAGTGTTTAAAACGTGCTTTTACTTATAAAGTATTTAAAAAAAAACCCTAGAAACCATATATTTTTGGATTCAGGACAACAAGCTCTAACTGAATAAAGATGAAATTTTTAGTAATTGCGCAATATCAAATCATAATTGACTAATAATTATTCAAAATGGCCGCCATTTATCATAATCATTACTCAATATGTTCTTATAAACTTTATAACTGTCTTTAAATTTTTTTTTCCTTGGTAAGTTCATTGGAAAAATAAAAAAGCTTTAAATGTGCTAAAGACATAAGCACATGTCAAGCTCCAAATTAGAACTAGGTCGCTTATTGAATATTTATATTAATTAATTAATTTAAAAAAAAAAAAAAAAATTTCGGAATCACCATCAAATTTCGGAAGATGAATTTTTTTTCTTAAGTCCTGGTGATGTATCATGTGCTTCTCTCCCCCCCCCTTATTTAATGGTATTTTGGCCACTAATTAATAACTAAAAATGTATTGTAAACTAATGGTAAAATAGGCCTAAAAATAACCAGTCACTAAGTAAGCGAAACCATCTTAACAAATCTGAAACACACATTTTTTTCCCTTACTCACTCTGAATAATTCAATAATCACAAATGAACAAACAATTTGTATGGTTTATTTTAACATTTGATTATTTTTATTTATAAAGCAAACTGTCAGAGTGCCTTCCACGTCCACATGGGGGTTATTTTACCTCTACCTTTGACAGTAATTTTTGACTGTCAGGACAAGTGAGTGCCCTGCTCTGCTCAAGTGCAGAGTTGTCCACTTATTCCGGTGGATACTCGGTCCCCAGAGCTGTGTTTGCCCATCCTCTACCGCGCAGAACTGCAGTTGGGATTTTCCCTTCACCGAGTTATGAGACCCTAAAGGCATTTCCCAAAACTCTCCGGTACTTTAGAAAGATTTCATATCCCAGCATAAGGATTACATCATTTGCTTCTGCTATCCAAAGCCAATCTAAACACAAACAAAAAAAAGTAACCATTAACATACACATATAATAGTAGACATTTTAAAAATGCACTCAGCAAAACAAATGATTTGAAAAAAAAAAAATTACCATTGTCAGTATTTTGTATGTGTTGCGACAGCTAAGATATGCAATTGTCAAAAGCCAATAATTTCATGTTTTTTTTTTAAACAAATCCTGCATCTATCCACATTCCTTTATCAGCTTTACCTGGTTGGAGTGCCCACAAAGCAACTCACACGTCTGTCTGTAATGATCAAGTTATCACTGGGTTTACATTGTTTACCTTGGCTCTTAAACTTATAGAAGGAATGTAACTAACAACACATGATTCAGTGGGTTTTCTGAAAATAGTTCTATTAAAATTGCAAAATATACACCTGAAAAAGAGGGTTTGAACTCTATTCACAGCTGATATATGTTCATACGTCCCAGATGGTATGTAATGATCATTATAAAGTATTACGTTTTGTTTAAAAAATTAAACATGTCGTTATAGCTACTCACCATGTCCATTAGTCTATGTTTGACTGCCAACGAAAGCTGCTGTCGATTGGGCTGACAAGCGAGCGTGATGATGACTTGCACTCTTAAAAGCCTTTATCTTTACTGAGTGTCTACTGAAATAAAACCTTGAGACAGCTTTATAATAAAATTACAATTCTGATATAAATTTGTATGTGCCAAAAATGTTTTGATTATTTTAAAAATATTCTATGATTTCTTAAATCGTTTTTTTTTTTAAAGTACTTATGTTTTATTTTTAATCTTCATAAAATGCCAGTTCTTTTGTGGCAAAGGCTACCAGAAATTCTGTCATAGTCATCTTGAAGGTGGCATCTGTTGGTCCTTCATCTTCCTTCCAGTAATACAGCTCTATTACTGTCTTCAGGCTGTCTTTTTCTTTCACGTTCTTTACCATTTCAATATAGACAGTGTCTACTCCTTCTTCATACCAGACGTGTCGCAGTAACGTACCTGGCAGTGCATTAGCGTTGTTGATAATATTTTTTAACTTTTCCTTTGTGTTCAACTCTACATCTTTAAATAGCTCTAGGTCGAGAACTGACAACACTGACTCTGTACGCACAAAGTCTGATAATCGTTTTTCATGTACATCTCTTTGTGTCTTGTCTAACCTCTGGACATCTTTCTGCTGTCTTTTCTTCTGTTGCTCAGCTTGATGCTGCCTCACCTTAGACCCATAACGAATTGCAAAACGGACCAAAAAGTTTTGGTAGTCGTCATCAAATGACTGTAGCCAGTGCAAAGTTTTGTTTTGCACAGCCTTTATTTTAGCATCAATAAATCCTATGGAGGCATTTGGGGCTCTTTGCAAAGCTCTATCCAACATTGCCATAATTCTTTCAGCCTCCATATTATGAACCGGGGCGGAAGATGTCCTTGCTATCATTTCTTCAGATGGATTAGACAAGGGTCCTGCAACATATGGCTTAAACTGCTGTTGCAATGTTTTAATAAACGCAGATGAAACATTTTTTGCTACTATACTGTAATCTTTAGTAGAATGGTGAAGCTTGGTTAACTCAGACTCCTCCATGTCCCTGTCAAACGCATCAGTTACAGCATGGATCAAATATTCAGGAGTCTTCTCCACTGTCATGAGATGGCCAAGACATGATGTTATCTCTTTTACCTGGTTGAAAAGAGTGATAAAGAAATATTGTTGAAAAAAAAATAAAATTTTATAACAATACATATCTACACTAGTATCCTAAAAAACCTGTAAAATAAGCAAATCATATGAAAACACTAGGACAGAGGACAAAAAAATTAACCACAAGAAAATTCTTACTGCTTCAAAGTGTCCTCTTCCATCCTCCTTTGAGTAAAATATCTGCATCCATGGTCCTGTGAGAAAGCGGGAGAACATGCCCAGTACTTGCAAGTGTAGAAGGACACTCGGATCAGTCAGGCCTTCATAAATTTTTGCGCACACAAACTTTCCCAGCCTGCATTTTACAAACTCTGTCAGCTGGACTCGATGCAGGTATATCACCGCTGCCATACTGAACATGACATTCAAGCGGTTCCCAACATAGCGTTTGAAGATACCGGGATTGATATTCTTCATCTTCAAAAATGCTGTGAATGCAGCTGGATCACCAGACCCATCCTTGTACCTGGAAACAAAATATATAAAAAAAAACGTCTTGTTATGTGCATGATTATGTGATTTACTGCAGGCTGTAAAATGAAAATTACATTATTTTTAGTATGACTTCCAGATTTTCAGTAGGCTCCATATATGATGATATATCCCCATGTTGTCAACCTGCCAAATACATGTATGTTGAATAATCTGCCATAGACATGAAACAAATGATATAAAATAGATGTCATGAGACATTCTGTACAGGACTTGCTACACAATGATGACAAAAACTGACTAAACATTACCTCAGTTTGGATACTTGATGAATCAGTGTTGCGGCCCGGCAGCCCAAGGAGGATTTCTGACCATCTTGGTCTGTCTTAGTATCCAGTTTACGCAGAGCTTCACGAGCTGATCTGGCAAGACCGTCTAATGGGTGGACCATACATTTTAAATCGGCCACGTCTCCGTCTCCACAGTTCTCTTTAAGTCGTTCAGACACTCAGTGGTTTGCAGCAGCTCTGTCACTCATGGTGCTGTGCAGTTTGCTTTTCACTTCTTCCAGGATGGCTGTTGCGGGTAACTGGAAGGCGGCACAATAGATCTCGCAGACATCAGATAAGGCCTCCATTGCATGCTGGTACAGCTCCTCTGCTGATGAACCTGAAATGGGTCTAATATTGAGAGTTAATGATTGCCTACCAAGTGATGTTTTGAGAGACACATGCACTTCGTTATAATGTATACCTGCCTTTGTTGTAGAATCCCAGGCTAATGTGATGAGATCGCACTCGTGCAGCATCTGGCCAGCTTGAATGCTAGCAAGCACCCCGAGTTCGTAAGCCATCTGTGCTATTGTAGTCACACATGGAATCTGAGAAAAAACTTTACCAAAAATTATCCCTGCAACAGAAGACAACAAACGAGAAATATTCCCAACACTAACATTACACATTAAAAAGTCATAAACACACTGCCTAAACCTATAATCATACTTCCCTGCCTCTTTTGTTGTAACAATGTTCTCACTGTCTTCCTTAGATTCTGTCTGTCCCACTGCTTCGTTTTCCCAGTATTTACTTCTATCTATCTCCTCTTGCAGTCTAGTTTTGAGTTTGAGTAACTCACTAGTATTCTTTTTTTGGATTTCAGAAATCTTTTCTTTGTTTTCTTTTTCTAAATCAGTGTTCTTGTCCTCAGATTTCTGTAGAAGTTTCTCTGCGCAATCAAACTGCGCACTTCTGTTTTGGCTTTGTTGACACTGGACTGTCATTGGACAAGATGGCAGACAATGGAGACACAGCCACATACTGATTGCCTAAAAAACGTCACTGTAAATTTAAAAAGCCACTCATAAGAAAGAAA